ACACACACACACACACACACACACACACACACACACACACACACACACACACACACACACACACAAACACACACAGAGTGGCTGGTTAAAATTTAATGTTTAAACTCTTTTTTCTGAATACAGGCAAATTATCATCCCACAACAGCGATGGTAATGAGAAGTGAGGAACGCTGTGTGCCCAATTACTGTCCTCAGTGATTAGTAATAAGCTGGCGCTGTTTTTTGACCAGATCATCACGGTGTGCACACGTAAGTGTGTGTTTGTCATCTCCACATCGAGGTAAACAGCAGATGTAATCACACGTCGATGAGCAAATAAGTAAATAACCTGACAATCATTTACAAGTGTTAATGAGTTTGTTTTGAAGCTACAAACTCATAACTAGGTCATCCCAAGTTGCAGTACTGGACCACATCTTAGTTTAAAATTTCAGAGAAAATCTTACAACGAAGAGTTCCGGTTTTATTTTGATCTCCACGAATAGGGAAGTTAGATACTGCTTTGGGATGTGTGTGTGCATGAGACGGGATCTTAAGTCTTCAGCTGTGCCGTATCTGTTCGCACTGACCATAATCCTCTCCTCTCTCACACTCTCTCCTTCTTTCGCCACATGTCTGTATTATGTCGTCTCACGGAAGGGCCAATTAGGCTGGTGTGTGGGAAGAGGAAGCACATGACAGGGACAAAACCAAACACTTTACTCTCAATCACACTCCCTCGACAGTCACTGACTTTACTCATTCACATCCAGAATCACTTCAAATACCGATGTAGGCTTATGGGAGTCTATGGGGATCAAAGTGAAATGTGGAATATAGCAACTACCAATTTCTTAAAGGGAACACAACTTACTTTTTTATAATTATTTCATTTTTTGTTCTTTTTTTAAAATTGACACTACCATTCAAAAGTTTAGAGTCAGTAAGTTTCTTTGTGAAACTTTTATTCAGCAAGGATGCATTATTTTGATCAAAAGTGACAAGGCAAAGATATTTATAATGTTAGAAAATTTCTATTTCAAATAAATGCTGGTATCATGGTTTCCACAAAAATAATTTAGCAGCACAACACTTACAATAAAAATTTATGATGCTGAAAATGCAGCTTTGCGTCACAGTATATATATATATATATATATATATATATATATATATTAAAATGGAAAATAGTTCACTTAAATTGTAAAAATATGTAATTTTGAGCAAATAAATGCAGACTTGGTGATCACAGGAGATTTCTTTCAAAAAAACAAAAAACAAAAACAAACTGGTGCTGCTAATGTGGCAGAAATTACACATTGCTTCTTTAGATTCTGTGACTCTGTAGCTGCTGCATTGTGAGTGCTCACCATCATCATCCTCTGGCGGGCCATCGTATGATTTGTCGATTGCTGCACGGAAACTCTCGTTGCAGCCACGCCCTCTCACCATGTGTGGCCGGTGCCTGTGGAAGGGCAGCAGCTCGTTTCTCTTGGCCTCTGTCATGGCAGTCTGAAGACTCTCTAGAGAACTGGACTTCTTCAGGCCTAGCGTGGGTCCCAACTCCACCCCACTACTCACTGAGACAGGACAAAGAGGGAAGGGGGGGGGGCAAAAGACACATGACGACACTTTAATACAGTGTTTGCCAAAAATCTTCTCCATACATTTTTTTAATTAATTTGAATACAATTAAATATACATACTCCATTTATACTTTGTTTTTAGATAATTTCAATCAATGCAATATTTTTGGTTTTTGCAAATTTGATATTAAGAAATTTAGAATTTAACTTTGAAATTCTTTCATTGAAGCAATATACTTAATTATTCTTCAATGCTTTATTATGCTTCAAAATAATAAGTTAACTTGCAGCATTTGTGCCATAATGTTATTACCATAAAAACAGACTTGAATGAGGTTGATTTTTGGAGGATTTAAATGTGATTCTTACAAGTTTTACTTATAAACACTGAACTCGGCTCTACAAATTTGAGCTGTGAAACAGGTTAAATAATTTTTACCGTTGCTATAGTGTTTTAACTTTTACGGCATTGTAAAACTGGATATAACGTTACACTGAAAATATAAGTGAGTGATTTTTCTGCATGTGTTAATACATGTATTTTATGTTTTGCGGATAAACCATTGAAAAGTGTCACGTTAATCAATATTTTGCCACAAATGCTGTTGACTGAGCTTAACTTCTACTGAACCTAGAATATTTCTTGAACTTTTACTCAAAGAATGTTTGCCATTCAAAATATAACTGTCATCATACTGTTTGCATTCTACATTTATTTCTTGCCTTTATTTGTCATTTGTGCAAAACCAAAGACATTAACCTAAACTCAAACTTTAAAACGACCTTTTGCTGCCTAGCAAGCACTGGTATAAGGAAACTTAATTCTAGCATCAGCGCTTTATGAAAGACTCGCTCATTTGTTTCAGTGCTAATCAAAGATGGTGGGTCAATAGAGACCACTGGAGCATTTCCCAAAGGCATTCTGGAAAGAAGACAAAGCTAAACGTTAATAATGTTTGAAGTGCCAAAGGTGGATCTTTATAAAACTGAACATGTATGTGAGTGTATGTATGTATGTGTGTTTGTGAGTGTGTGTGAAATTGTAAACACTCTCTCTCTCCTCTAATGAAAATTACTTTTTAAATATGCGCCTCCACAGGGAATGATGGATGAGAGCTCAATCCCGGGACTCTCCATCAATCAGAAGCACCATCTCTCTCTCTCTTTATCTCCCTCCTTTCCATCTCTGCATACCTCCATCCTTCCTTTGGTCGACCCCACCCTTCTCCAAACATCTCCTACACTCACAATCATTAGCTAAAGCACTGCAGCTCCCAGAATGCATTCATGAATCAGGAAATCATCGTATAGACAGTTGGTGCGCCTCACTGGAATTCCAATCAGCCTGGCCTGCTGCCGGCACTGGCCCCTTTTTTGTTTGGCTAATGGTCGTTTAAATGAAAGTGGAAGTGGGATCAGTCGTTTAATCTGTGTGGCCTCTAAACTGCCAGAGAAGGCCAGACGAGATGAGCCCAGCTGCACGCTTTCTGCTCTCAGGATTATGACATGAGAGAAATTTATGCACATATAATTTGGGATGTGGTACTAAGAGAGAGAGAGAGAGAGAGATGAGGAATGGGGCGCTAAGAGACACAGAGGGTGAACGGAGACAGGGACACAGCTGGATGAGAGCGTCTCCATATAACATCACAACAGATGCCACACCTTGAAGTTTGACAAGAAATGAAAGTTCATGAAAGTTCAAAGGACAAAAAGGTTTATATGTGCATATGTATGACATGCTGACTTTGAGTAGGAAGATACAAAGAGCAAGAGCAATGCAAAAAATTAACTAAACTAAACTAAAATAAATAAATAAAAACGTATTCAAAAATTGTATAGATGTCTTAAAGGGGTCACGAACTGCCTTTTTTAATATTTTGTACTGTTCTCTGAGGTCCACTTATAATGTTATCAACATTTTTATATAAAAAAGCATCACAATTTAGAAGTAATAGGCTATTTTCTGTCCTGTTTTTAACCCCCCTCATCAGAACGCTCTGTTTGAATAGGCTTGGCGGATTGTAGACTCTGAAGTAAACGCTCACTGCTATGATTGGCTAACAGCTGTGTATGTTTGACAGCTACATCCTTCATAGATGGACGCTGCTGTGATTTAGGTTAAAATGCATTAATACTCAGTACATATCAAACTATCTGTAATAACAGACAAAGCAATAGTGATCACATAATAAGTTAACATAAGTTAACAAGTTACTCACACTTGTGTGGTGTGACATTACTGTCGGATCTAATTTATTACGCACAGCAATGTCTTTTAGTTTCAATCTTTCTGAAAATCCAGTGTTGAATTGTGCCTTGTTTGTAAATGAATCGGCAGTAAAATGAAGTGATCAAACGACCAAGCTCTTTCTGACAAGGTCTGAATCTTCATTAAAAATAAAGTTCATTCACTCTTTTCTAATGTTGGGATCAGAAAGAAAGCAATGCAAAGACTGTGTTTTTCCACAACTTGGCACTGAACAGCATCTTTATCGTTTGGTTTCTGCGTTTGCCTCTCTTGTTATTTACACTACATGTGTGAATCGGTGGGCGGCGCTAAACATGCAGTGATGTAGAAGCAGGTGTTGATGATCTTCTGCGGAGGCGGGGTTTAGCCACACTATTACATCATAAAGTGGCACATTCCACAACCTGTCGTTTTGGCAGACTGGCTTCAATAAAAGCTGTTTTTAGACTAACGAGAAAGTTTTGAGTTCTGAAGCTTATAGGATGTTTTTATAGTACAACGACCTCTTACATGTCAAAAGATCAAGGACATTTTGATTTCTCAGTTCATGACCCCTTTAATTTCTACACTACATTTAAAAGTTTGTAGTCTGTACCTTTTGTAATGCTTTTGAAAGTAGTATCTAATGTTCAACAAGGCTGAATTTATTTGATCAAAAATAACTTGATGTAAATAATTTACATCATGCTTCACAATGTGCTGATGTTCACGTCAAGTGTAAACTTATGACCCTGTGTGTGACAGTTGGCCAGAAGCAATAGTTTATATATTTTTTTAAATACTAGTATTTTTCTAAAATATTAGTATGCTACAGAGAACATTGATTCATCACATTGGGTTGTTTGGATCACCACCTTGTTCACTTTGCGGTTTAAGAATTCGTTTGAAAAAACTCATCAAGGACTAATCCTGAAATTTCACCAGAAACGACCAAAGCAAACCACTCTTAAGTTGGACTTTCAAGCACATGGTGCTGGTGGATCATAGGGAAATGTTGATTAACAGCAGTATGGAGCGTCAGTGAGTAGGAGAGGTCTGCTGTAGCTGAGCTCCAGGCTGGATTTGTGTGAGAGGAGGTTTATAAATAGCAGGCCGCTGATGTACCAGTCAGCGTGACAGAAATGTTCTCTTTACGAGCATAGTTCGTGTCACAAACGTAATTACTTCTGTCCCATGGCCTGCTGATGAAATTAAGCAGCTTTTGAGAAGTCTGCTCTCTGGAGGTCTCCAAAACACTTTTGGCTTTGAGATGAGAGTCTAAATGTGTGTCTCGGGACACTAGCGTGCTTTAATCAGAGCCACATACATGCTGAAAATGGGGAGGGACTATTAATTGTAGCTGTCAGCTGATTTAAGGAGAAGTCAGATGTGAGTGTGGACTTTAATTTCATCTTCTCACAGGAAGCAAAAATAGAGGCTAGGGCTACATCCCAATTACCATACTATCCTACTAGATCACAAATAATAGCCTGTTGTCAAATGTACAGTGCATGAAAGTATACAACTTTTGTAGATTTTCAAAGTATACATGCTGCATGCTGTCTGGAGTAATATTGTTTAAAAAAACAAGGAAAGAAAAAAGGGGAAAAAAGCTGTTCACCATACAGATATAATATTATATTATTGTAATATTATAAAATAACTAATATATATTATACTATTATATCATGTAAATATTTGTAAAAAAAAAAAATTATTCTCAAATATTTTATATACCAGTTGTTTAGAATCTTTGGAGGACATTTTCAATTTATTTTTATTTTTATTATTAATACCCAACAATTAAACAACAATATCTCAGTTTGGAGCAAAAATAAATAAATACAACAACAATAATATTAATAATAATAATAATATCATAGAATACATATTAATTAAATCATTATAAAGCTAAAAAAAAATATCCTAAATGAATGAATGATAGGTGGTGAGGCACTAAGGCACTATATTTTGAAATAAACATTTCAAAACAGATTTTAGCATTTAGGTATTGGTATAAAACACAAATTATATTTGTAGAATTATTATTGTAGAATGTCATAGTACCAGATGACTGTCATACTACATTCTTAAAAGTATGTGGTAGTGCTGGTAACAGTGCGTACTAAGATAGCCAATACCACTGTGGTTTATACTGTAAACAGCAGAAATGTATGCATATTTAAGCAAACACCTTTTCAAGACAACTATAAAAGCTGTAAACAAAAAACAACAACAAAAAACAAACAAACAAAAACATGAATGGGGTACTACTGGTGCATTTTATGTTGTAGAATAAAACATGACAATAAATATCCTGAGCTTGTGATAATCACAGGTATTATTTCAACATTTAACCAAAAACCCATTAAAAAAACATACTGACTTCAGAAAGATGGAACCAGAAGTGAACTTATTTTCGAATTCTAAGACTACCACACTCTATCACCTACATAGATAATATCTGCCCTGAGGCATTGCCAAAATGACTGCCGAGTGAACTAACTTTAATTCAAAACACATTTAACAGACACTGTAAAGAGAGGGTCATTCTGTCAGTCTGTCACGCCAAAGATGAATCTGTGGTGGAAGTTAAGAGAAGAGAAATGTGGAGCGTATAATCGGAAAGGTCAGCTGTCTTAGTGCCACTTGTGTTCTCCTGTCACACTCCGAAACACTTACTCTTGGTTCATAAGTGCAGGGTTCAGGAAGCAGCTTTCTGCGAGTTATACTCCTACATACCTCATGTACCAGAGTCTGTCAA